AGAGATCCCGAAGACATTTCTTGCTTCCATTAGTGAGTCAGATGGAGAGAGATCATTATTAATTACAGGAATAATTTAGCCATTTTCAGATATTTGTTTTTATTTTAACACCTGCAATTTGCTGTGATGTTATCATTCTGTTAATCATCTTATGAACGGTAGTTTTTTATGTAGTGGGTCTATCCGTAATCTTGCTGGATTACACTAGAGAGAGTTAGGAATGAAATAGATTCTATATAACTGTAAATGAAAATGCAGCCATTACTGAGAAAAGAATAATTATCTATCATGCTGTATACCTTATGTTGTAGTCTAATCAAATATAATAATAGGCACTCTGTTGCCATTTGCAGTTCTATCTATTTGACCATGTACTATAAAAACAAGCTGCTAATGTTATAAAAAATATTTAAAAGAATAGTTAAGAGCCATGAAAAAAAGAGTGAAGAATCTTTTAGTAATATTCTAACCTCTATATGGACAGATTCCATCAGGTGAGGGCAGCGAACAGCTGTAAATAGAGCATTTATTGCCCTACATCAGTTAAGTTTGCCAAACTTCAAAATATTTCCTGGTATCAGCCTCTATTTTCATTTTTCCTTATCTGCTTTGGGGTCTTGTCCAATGATTCATTTTCTTTATCCTTCCGCTTTTGTTTTGCAAAGTCAAATATTTTTCCTTTTAAAAACCCATCTCAGATTATTTTCATCTCATTGTCAGGTAAGCTGGCCACAGGGGAGACGACTTCGCAGTGCTGTTTTCTTTTGAAGTTTAAGGTAAGTTGTAAGGTAAGTAAAAAAAAAAAAGTTTTTCCAACAAAATTAATCCAAAGCAGGTTTGGAAGTATATCTGTTTATAGATAAAGGACCTGGAGAAGGATTAAAGGAAGCATTTTTAGGCAGTAAATGGAAAAAGTATTTCCACAGTTTATATTTTATTTTCCTTTTTTGATATTTTAAATAAAAATAGTCACTTTAAGCTTTTTTATTTATTAAAACCTAAGGTTTTTTTCAGCATGTTCCTATCAGCAAAAATTAGGAACCAATTTTCTTCTTTGCAATTTAAATTAAATTTATTAGAACTGACACATTACAGGGTGTTTTAAGTGACAATTTCTTAAAACGTATTATCAGTGCCTTAGAAGTATACAAGAAACCTTAAAATATAAGGTAATTGTATTGGAAAATGTGCCTTATTTATAACTTTATGTATCATGGAAAAGTATATTAATAACAGTTTTTTTTTAACTACACACTAAAATAATTTAGTCGAAAAGAAGCAAAAATCAGATTATACCATTATTGTGTATGACAGTATCACCCACAGTATAGAATAAATACGGTTTCTTATTCTCTTTTCGTTGTAATCGTAAATAAAAGTATATTAAAGTTAAATTATACAATTAATTAAATGTGATAAAAATACACACATATATATTTTTACTACATTTAATAGACAATTGAAATTAATCAATTCATATTAGGAATAAAATAAGCATTGATTTTGATTTTCAATTGGAAACAGCGTTTTTCGCAATTTTTTTTTTTTCATAAAAATTTCTCTGATATAGAAATATTTTATTCATTAGTTACCTCTCTAGTATTAAACCCTATTTATTTATTTTATGTTTAATGAATTTACAAATTAAGCTTGAGTGTAAAGGCTATATCAGGATATGAATTTGCATTTCTAAAGAATTTTCTGGTCGCCCGAGCTTTGATGGGAAGAAGGGATCAATTGTCAACATTACAAAGTCATTTAAAGCGTAAATTAAAGAGGAAATAAAGTTTCTCTGAAACGTCTTTAATGAAGCTCCAGCTATGTGACAGATATGTATTACTAACATACCTGTGTGATATTATCTGCTTTTATTTTCTTTGTGTTGTTCTTTGTTAATCTCATGCTTTTAGTTTCTCTTTAAGGGATGCGCTTCCTCTTAAAAACCATATTATCTAAGAGCTTAAAGGTGCCATATAGAAAAACAAACATACATATTGTATGACTGCTAGTATCTCATCAGGAATGCAGCAAATTCTTTCCACCTTTTAACCTCTTTATCTGCCTTCTGCGATTAGTTTGAGTAGATAACATGCTGTTCAGTATCTATGCCTGCTTGTAAAAAGAAAAAAGCTTTTAGCAGAACAAACAAAATACCAGAAAATTAAAGCCTCCTGACTTCGAACCGCAACTGTATCTGCAGGTGCGTCAACAGACTATTTAAAATGAATAAGAAAGGAATAAGCTTGACTCACTCAACAGAAACCCTTTTTTTTATCATGAGACAGAAGGACTCTATGTGTTTTGCAGGTGTAGTTAATTACTAAGATGCCAACAAAGACTCCAATCAGTTGGCAAAGTAAAAGAGAAACAACTAGAATGAATGTGAGCCAACAATTTAAATCAGCATCAGTTACTGTAGTAATCTAATAACTAAACGTTTCTAAAAATTGCATTTAATCTAACATGTTTTTTTGGGCCTGCAGAAGAAAACTCAGAGTAACCAGAGCTGAAGGTGAAACCCTGCATATGAACAGTTTAAATGGGGGAACTTGGGATTCTGTGAGTTCAAGGAGTGATTGGACAGAACCATCATGTGTACAGAATGAACCGAAGATCTTCAGCTGTTTTGGATCCACTGGAGGATGGAGATATTTATTTTTTTTATTACCCAAAGAAGCAACTGGAGAAAACCCAAGAATGGACAGTAGGAACTTTACTTGGAGGACTGGGAATACCCAAACTGGCCCAATAAAAGGTGCTGATGCACATGAAGAACCTCACAACTCAACTTGGATGACTTACAACGCGGAGCGTTGGCGGAGAAACTGCAGCAGGCAATAAAAAAGGTATCTCTGCAGGAGTAAAAATAAAAACAGACTTAACATCGATGTGGAATAGGTAGACTTCTGGACCCGGATGCAAAAGTTTGTTTCCCCTGATTATTGGATTACGTGGAGAGACCCAACACAAGCACACAGAGAACTTACCATCTTCAGCTACTTGAAGAGGTCCCAAAGTGCTTTTTTTATTCCTTTAGTAACTCTTTGTTGATGCTTATCAGGAGAAATTATTGTAAAATAGTAAAGAGTTTAACTAATAAAAAAAAGTAAAGTATAAAAAGTATATATATAAGCCCTTTTTTATGTGGAAATTGCACATTTCAGAGGTTGAGGAGGAAAACATTTTTCTCTAGAATGAAACCTCACTGGAATGTCTTCTACTTTCAGTTCCATTGGCAGACAAATGCCATCAACCAAGCAGCTAAATCGAGTCTCTGGGAAAAAATGTTTGTTTATCAGAAGTTAATCAAAACAAGAATCCAGATATCGGTTGAGGTTTTTTTTCCAAAGAAGTCACCTAAGCTTTAAAATCATATGTCAAGAATGAATGTACCAGAAAGTGCGTGACAGCTGTCAAGCTTTAGGGACAACAAACAACTTAACGGTTCAGGTTTTTCCAGATGAATGGGATGCAGAAGCATATCTGCTGATCTGGAAATCAATCTAATTTCTTTTTGGATTATTCTCACGTTTAAAATCATCTATATGTGATGATGGAGCAAAGAATTATCCTGAAAGGACTTCTGTTTCTTTCAGCATAAAAAACAACAACATAATAGACACAGTTATGCTCTGGAGTAGTTCTGCTTTTTATTTTATTTGTAACCAACACGTTTAGTTAGTAAGAACAACCAGAGACTGTGTTGTACCAAAAAAAGTTGGTCAAAACAACTAGAAACTTAAAAACAGGCCTTTCCCGTTGGAGGACTGCTTCCTGGTGCATGCTGGCAGTGTGACAAGGAGTCCATTTACATTTGTTAAAGCCTGCATGTTGCTATTAAGCTGGGTAAATAAGGAAGATGATTCACAGATGGAGTGATGCAATGCCTTTGTGCGTGAGCTTGTTTATTTGCTATAGAGGTAGTGCAGTAGTAGCAGGAGGGGAAGTAAGGGCTCTGTCAGCGCTGCTGTCCGCCACCTGTCATTAAGGAATGTTCTTCACAGTCTTCTCTTCATGCTAAATGATGTTTGCCTCTACATGAAGCTGTCTACCTTCCCCCTAGAACAACTCAAATACCAGAGAATTCAAAGGAACATCAAACCTGCAGACTGTTGACTGTTTAGTTTCCCCCCCCAAAAAAGAAGTCTGTTTGCTTAATCGAGGAGAAGAACAATTTACAAACTGATTTCCTGGATGTTTCATATCTTACATGGCGGAAAGCCGATTTGTGAAACACCTTCAAATACACGGGTGCCGATTACCTTACAAAATCCTGCAACATATACTTGCTTCATATTCACGCTTCAAAGTTTTAGTCCGGAACTTGAATCTAAAAACCAAATGAATCATTAATTATCAATAAATCTGTGGAGGTTTTCTTTCCAAATGTCTGCTCTGTAAGCTGAAATAATGGGAGAATATTGAGATGCACAAATCAAATGGAAACTCATCCTAGATTTATACAAAAACACGTTAAAAACAAGAGGGAAACAGGTCAGAGAGGCTGAAAGATATTTTGAAGAACCAGCAGGATTTGTCACCACGGACAGACAGTGGTGAAAAAATCCTTGTGAACTCCATAGAATAGTTAGGTTGAAAGCCAGAGAGTTTTTTAGAGGCCCCGGTGAAACATACAGCTATGTGGTTTAATGGAACCAAACTATAAAAGGAATAACACAACAAAACAAAACAAAAAAAACCTTCAGGTTTGGGGGACAGTTTTTTTTTTTTTTTTGGATTTAGGTTTTCCTGATACTCACTTGAATGTTTGTTCTAAAAAAAAAAAAAAAAAAAAAAACAACAACTCTTCAATTAATTAACTTTAATGTTATTTTTTAAAAAGCAGGTTACTTTAGCGGAGTATTAAAAAAAAGTGAAAAGCGATGATGCAGTCATGTGTAGTAACTGACAGATAACAGGATATTGGGCCAAAAAAACCCCACCCAGCATATATTGTATTATTCTTTGAGAAATTTCCACACTAGCAAAAAATCATTTGGATGTTGGGGTTTTCGATCAAGACAACAAGACAAGGTAAGCTCCTTATTCAGTTTATCTTCTTAAACACTAATGTCTAGATTAGTGAAATTTAATATAGCAAGTTTAAGGGAGAGGTATAAATCACCAACCCAGTATTTCTCAATATGAACTTGCACTGAATCTGATTTTTCTTACTCAATGAATGTGGTTGACAGTCAAACCAATCGTACATAAACACATTTATTCAAACTCAACCTAACAACATACTTTAGGCTTAAATCAAAAGCATAAACAAAGTCACACACCGTCGATGCATAATTTTACTCAATATTAACATCACTCAAAATCAATTCTTTGGAATAATCTCAGATCCTTGAACAAGTGCAAGAATAAATAGCAATTGGAATGTCCAGCCAATGAGGAAAAGGACGGTTATTGCATGCAGCTAAAGAAAGAATTACAGAGTGTAATTTATTTTTTTAAACCAGGTATAACCCCCCCGTAAAACATAAATAAAGCTTGCTAAATCTGGTAAAAGGAAACCATTCTGTAAACAATAAGCCATAAACCTGAAACCTGAAATTAGAGCCATGTTACAGTTTGTAATCCACTGATGTACTCGTGAATAAAGGTTTTAATTTCCAAAAGCCTGCACTAAAACTTGGTGAAACTAAAATTAAGGCAATCTGGAGAGAAGTACAGGCCCTTTAATGCCATCCCTACTCTAAGTATGATGTTAAAGCATTATCTTATCAGGGTATTTATTCAGAGATACAGACTATTGTTCACATTACAAAATTGATAGCATCACGAGGAGAGAGCATTATGTGGAAATCCTGAAACATCTTAAGACATCAGTGAGGAAGTTAATATTGGTGCAAATTGTTCTTCCAAATCGACCATAAGCACATCAGTAAAGTAAATACAGATTTGCTTAAAGACCACGTCTATGTTCTGGAGTGGCTATAATATAATCCAGACCTCAGAGCATTGTTTTGATTAGAACTGAAAAGGTTCTGTGAACAAGGTGGCCCACCTATACCAGTTATAACTGGAGGAATGGGCCAAAATTTCAGAAAACTATTGTTAGAAGCATTTAGAAGGATACTCAAGTCCCAGTTTAAAAGATACATCTATAAACTGTGAAGGAAATGTATTAATTTTTATTATTTTATTTCCGTATAAAAAAAAAGGAAGAACTTTGTAAACCTTACTCGATAGAGGTCGAGGCAAATCACACATTTACCGTCATAAATATCATGTTCTTTAATTAAATGTCTTGTTTTGGATCTTTAAACTGATGTATTGCTTGCATAAAGTGGGTATTAACACAAACACTGATCGTTATTTTAGCAGGAAGGCACACCACCAATGGTGTTTCATAAAAGTTATACTATTAGAGAAGAAAAAGAGTGTAAACATCAATAAAATCCTATTTTAAATTTACATTAACCTCTATAGTATTTGGCTTTAAACACTGCTTGGCCCCTGTTAGATCAGTTTTATACTTCCTCCTTTAGGTGCAACTAATCAGAATTTTTAGTTAATGATGACACCAAGTGGATATGATGTATGTCTGATCTTTTTATATTTAGAATATTTCCTCAATATGTTAAAACCTTTTAAGCAAATATTAGTTTATTTTCCCGTTCAAACTGATGTATCCATTTTTTTCAGTTTAAATGGAAACTGCACTTATTTGACTTTGTTTCTCACCCATAGCCATGTCCATCACCTACACCTTTGAAGGGGACTTCTCTGACTACAATGAAACCTACCAACTCGACCTGAATCCAAAGACATTCGAATGTATTCCAAAACCTCTAGAACCTACAGCAGCTCTGGTTTCTTCTCTAATCCTCATAGCTAACTTTTTACTAGCCATCCCAGGAAATCTGCTGGTGGGTTGGGTGATCAGCTCCAGCAGACGGGTTCTGACCTCATCAGATGTGTACTTGTTTCACCTGACAGTGGCAGATGGATTGATGGCCGTGACGCTCCCATTCTTTGCAGTCGCTCTTGTTAAGGGATGGCTCTTTGGTGACTTTATGTGCAAGTTCCTCAACCTCATTATTGAAGCAAATTTCTACACCAGCATAATCTTTTTGGCCTGCATAAGCGTTGATAGGTATCTTGTGATTGTGCACGCAAATGAGAGCCACTGGAGTAAAAAGAAGGAGTGCAGCAGGATCCTCTGTGCAGCGGTCTGGGCTCTTGGTTGGGCCCTCGCCCTGCCTGCCCTTTTTAACGATGCTGTCAAATTCAACGACGACTCGGAAAGGTTCATATGTACCGAAAGCTTTGACGTGGGGAGCATTACCAGTTGGAAGCTTGCCACCGGTGGGTTTCGCCACATCTTCGGCTTTCTGATCCCACTGGCTGTCATGATATCCTGTTACAGCATCACGGTCGTGAGGCTGTTGAACACTCGTGGTTTCCGGAAGCACCGGGCCATGCGGGTGATCATAGCCGTGGTGATTGCATTCCTGCTGTGCTGGGGGCCGTACCACATAACCATGATGATTGATACGCTGATGAGAGCCGACCTGATACCGTTTGGCTGTGGCATGAGGAGGTCGGTGACCTTAGCTCTGAACATTACCAACACCATTGCTCTTCTACACAGCTCCATAAACCCTTTCTTGTATGCCTTCGTGGGAGAAAAGTTCAGGAAGAAAATGATGCTTCTCATACAGAAGAAACTAAGACCGGAGAGATTATCAGGGTCTAAGTCCAGCAGGTCGACTTCTCAGACCTCAAGGGAAAATGGAACATTCATTTAATGATTTCAGTACCTAAACTCATATGTTTGTAGCATAAAAAATAACAAAGCAAAAAAATACATCTGTTGCTCTGATAGAAAAAGAAGACAGATGGTTTGAGAGGGGTGTGAAGAAAGCCATCTAAGTTAAGAAAGAAAAACATACAACTTAGTGATAGTGTTGATTCCTTCCCGCTATCATCGCAACCCCCACCTCATTCAGGAGAGCAGAACATCTCGCCTGTTCATCCAGGCCAACAATTCCCCCTAACAAACCCCTTTCAGAGACATAGACCAGTATTGGGTATTGCAGGCTAACAAATAACCAAAATGACTGCCCATTCCTAAGGGGCAGACCCATTCTTCCGGTACCATTTGCATGTTTTCTTTTTTTTTGCTCCACTCTATAAAGCCTCAAACTCCACGCTAATTCTGACCTTTTGAATTGAAAAAGCTTCCTGGTGGGGAAGCAGAAAGTGGATTTTTTTTTTTTTTTTTTACTATTTTGGAATTGCTCTGATAGCTTAGCTCTAAAGTAATTACATCTGAGATTATAGAAATTTAGAACAGTCTCTAAAGTTGTCACAAAATAAGATTAATTTAATTAAGTTTAAGATTAAATAATGTATTTTTTTTGGAAGGCAATAATAAACAGCCAGATAATATAAAGGATATTTCACCCTCAGGTCATACTTTTTGTATTCCTTTTTTTATTTTTATTTAATGACACGCTGCTGCCATCTACTGAATCTTCTCGTGTCACAACTCTGTTGTCTATACATTTCTTCTTCACAAATTGTAATATTTGAGCAAATAAAGTACTATTAACTCTATTAAATTGTAATTAACATCAAACATATGTACAGCCTGAAGTTTAAAGAAAAATATAGTATTACTTTTCTTTTGTTTTTACTTTTTTGTTCTGTTTTAAGAAGTGGCAAATTGTGTGCGTGTTATTGCAAAAGGGGAAAAATGTATTTTTCGTACAGATTTAAATATTTTGATCATAACCAATAAAAGTATTTGAAACCTCATACATGAAGAGTGAATTTAATTGAGAGCATTACCGTAAAGTTCCAGATTTTTGTGATGAAAATAACCCCCAAAGCGATATTCATGAGGAATAATTTTAAAACCTTCCCACTTTTGAGAGAATTTAGGGTTAGGAGATGAAGCACAAGGCAAATAGAAAACTGGGAGTTTAGAAGAAATTATGTTTTTTTTTTTTTTTTTTTCAGGCAGATCCAACAAGGAAAAGTGATTAATTGCTGAGGAGAATAATAGGCGTGTTAAAATGGGAGACAATATGGAGCAGCTGAGGAAGAAGGGATGCAGTGAAAAGCTCAGGAAGGAAAACCTAATAATACTAAAAACTGAACAAAGATATAAGTAAAAGAATCAAAGGACAATATCAAACAAAGGGGAATAATCTAGCAATAAAGGAAACAAAACATACTCATTTAGGGACTATAACATATCCAAAAAGGTTCGATACTCTGGTTGCATAACAGGAAAATGGATTCATACTTGTTACAGTGTTTTTGACTTCATAACTACTAAACAGTAAATTCTGTAGTGTTCAATACGCAGTGTCAAAGTACGTTGACTATTTTAGAGTTATTACAACAACAACTGGATGAAGATATACACTATGAGTTAATTTAACACTAATTCAGAGTGGTGACCAAATGCACTTAGATTAGTGTTAAATTCAAATCTTCAAGTGTTACTTGGAAAAAAAAACACTGCAAAATGAATGTTCATCTGTCTTGGCAGGATTCTCCTTTCTTTTATTAATTTTTGCTGCAACAGTCATAATTTCCAGAAAGGTACAATGCCTAAACTATAATAATGATTATTAAACTTTATTAATCTCACATTGGAGAAATTTACCTCTGCATTTAACTCATCCTCCTGAGGATGCCTTTTTGGGCTGGCTGGGGTGCACTGTGGGGTTAAGGGTCTTTCTCAGGGACCCAAATGGCAGTCTGTGGGAGTGGGGCTCAAACTCAGAACCTCAGGATTCCAAGCTCTATGCCCTAACTGCTCCCCACAATAAGAGTGGTTAGGATAAACTAGAAGAAGCTGAAGATTTTTTTAGTAACAATGTGCTGAATTCCATCCATCCAACCCCAAGTGAGGTCACGAGGTGCCTTTCTCCAGCAGTCAATGGGCAAGAGGCAGGGTACACCCTGGAAAGGTCACCAGTCCCTCGCAGGGCAACACAGAGACAAACAACCATTCAGGCACACACTCACACCCAAGGACAATTTAGACAAATTAACCTAACAGTCATGAGTAACCAGAGAGAACCCACGCTCAGGGAGAACATGCAAACTCCATGCAGAAAGACCCCCCCAGCCCGATGTTATATATATATATATATATATATATATATATATATATATATATATATATATATATATATATATATATATATATA